CCCCCCCTGTAAATAGGTCACTGATGTTTCTGATATTTCTTGAAATTTCAATTACCTTTACTTGCACTGTACCGTTTGTTTGCCACTTTCACCACCACTTCATTCGAACTCTTCATCCTTACTTTCGATTCATTCCAAGCAATTGCATTGATTATTCCGTAGAGAACTGCTTTGACTTCAACAGTATACAAAGTTTCAATCGGCGATAGCAGAATGTCCACATCTCTGAAATCTGGATTTTTGTCTTTCTGAACCAATTTTATTCGAATTTAATTGTTTTTATTCGTTTTTTTGTTGCAAAAAAGAGCGAAAAAATGTCTGAATCAAAGTGCGCTCTGTCGCATTAACTGAATATTTTTTTTCAAATTCTGAGCTGAAAGAAATTAACGATCTCGAATGTTCAATTTAATATAATTGAAGGCCAATTATCACAAAAATTTGTTGAAATTACCTCTCTGCATAATTTGCCCATCTCAACTTCACAACTGCCTGCTCGTTTTCGTCTTTGAATTTCTGTCCTTTCTTGCTGATTTGTTGCCAACTAGCAGAAGGTTTTCTACCACTAACTTCTAGTACAGATGCCCTGAATTCAAACTATTCAGCACAAAAACATATCATTAGAGTTCTAACTTTGCCCAACATCTTGTTTTCAACACCTTCTCAAGTGTTTCGTCGAAATTTGCGCAGCTTTATGTTTCAACTGAACGATGGCTTGCAACCTGAAGCGAAAAGTTAATACAAATCACAAGAAAAAAAAATAGTTTTTCTTACTCTGCTTCTGAAAATAGATTCCCTGCTGGTATCGACGAGAAGAGTCGAAAACGTTGCATCATTAAGCGAGAGACCATTAGGAGAGTAAAATTCGAACGCTGGTGGATGAATTTCGCAACAGTGACGCAGACCTTGAAAAGTGTATTATGCACCAATGCTGAATAATTTTGAGGAAAAGTTTTTTTTTTTAAAGTAATGTATCGATATGATTGAAACGTAAATTTCATAAAGAGCTCCTAAAATGCAGTATTTTTATAAAACCGAGACAGATACAATAAATCATGTACAGAAAAAGAAATTATATAAGAAGGCATAAAACGATGAAAGGAAACGTGCTCGTGAGTTTTGTAGTTGATTTCACATGGACTCGAGTAGTTTCATGAATTCGTCTGAATGATTTTCCTCGTAACTAACGACCTGAAAATGAGTTTTTTCCTAGCAAACTGTTGCCCGAATACCTCTAGTCGTGACTACAAAGTCTTGATTTCTCGTTCTGATTCGTCGTCCAAACCTTCTTTCTCAATCACTTTGGATTACTAGCTTCGTGAATCCGTTTCGTAGTGCCTGCAAAGTAATAACCATTTGTGAATATAAAATGTGTTCTTACGATTTGTAAAGCTCTGATAATGGCCGTCTGTTTCGATCTGATCTCACTTGCAACTCCATCTACAAACCCGTACTCAGCTTCAGTTTGATCAAGGAGCCAATATAACCCGTATCTTCCAACATCCTCATTGTTGCCCCTTTGTACAGTGCCAAAAGTACGGACAGTTCGAAACGCCTGAACGGAGTCCGCTAGCTTTCGTGCTTCGTCAATGTAGCCTTCTTTTCCGTCTCGAACTTGCACAGTCTGAATATATTAATAGTGGTGAAAAAAAGAATTCCTTCTTACCATTTTGTCAAGCATCGAAGTGAGATTTCTGCAGACACTCACACAACCCGAATGTACAGAACTCGTTGGTGGTGGCCAACAAGTGTCGCGTCACACATGCCGCCAGCTTGTAATGAATTCTTTTAGGTCTTCGAAATCGGTATACACCGTAAGATGTTGGACATATTGATTTATTCCCTGAATCATGCATAATTCAGTTTTTAGAAATTTCTTTTACATACATTCTGGATAGCAGCTTCGAGGGCGGCCATCTCAAGACACAACCGGGAGTGAGGTCCTTCAATCCAGCCGCTTCCGTTTCTTTGGTCGCCTGGCCTCCAGAAAAATCCGTATCGACCGATCCCGTCATAAGCTGTACCCAATGATCCTCACTTTCAAAAGATCCTCACTTTGAAACGAGGAATGACACTACAAAGCTTTTCAAAAAGATCCCGATTTTCCCCATCTGGGTACAGTTTTCTCATGATACAATTGTGAACATTTACGCATCGGCTTCGGATTATGAGTTCGTCGTGGTGCGAATCGAGAGCCTGAAGTTATATGAGTTATAGTTTGTGTAAGAATACATACCACCGCAAGAACACAACATGAAATAAGTTACCTTCTCCCCAATAGAAACCATATCCTGCTTTTGCATCCGGTTGACCATCATTACAGGCACCGTAAATATCAACCATTCGATAGCCTTTCTCAAATTGATGATTTGTGTAAGGTTCAACTGCTGTAGAATGCTGGCCGATGGTCCTCCTCGCTCGTTGAGCTGCAACGTTGAACATCCTGATGGCGTTTGTTCTTTCTATGCTGACAGGCTGAAACATCAAGCAAAGTGGAGGGAGAATAAGTATAGGGTTACCAATATATTAATTATTTCTTGAATCACTGCAAACAGATCTTCATCATTGTCTTTGCTATTTTCTAATAAGCTGCGATCTCTTTTCAATGCTTCATCCAATTTCCGGGAACGATGTCTGATTACAATCGAGGGTATTTTACATTCAGAAGCCTGGAAAAGACAATTTTTTTATTTATTGATTGAGTGAATGTACTTACTTCGTCAATGGCAACACAGATCGCTGTTAGTAATGCTCTCAATTCGGTCTTTTCTCCAAATGCGACAGCGCCTATTTTCTTCGACTTGACTGGACCCCAGTCTATTCCGTATCCAGCTCGAGCATCGGCTTTTCCCTCATCCGAAGAAACATCGAAAATGTAAACGATTGGGGTTCCGAAGGCATCGACCCATTCAGTCTGCATGCTGATCTTGCGGTGGATCTGAATTTTTTAAAGATTTATCTAAGAATGAAGAATACGCTATTAAAACACATTCTGAATTCAAAACAAGTTCGTACATAGAAGCGCGGAAACGAGCAAATTGTCAAATTTGAACAATACCGGGGGAAATGGAGAAAATTCCGCGAAACCGCGGAGAATGAACCAATCTAGCTGAAATTTCGGAGAAAATTATAGAGAGCATATTCCCAAAATTTGGGGTCGCAAAATTAATTTTGAAATTTTGGCTGGAATTTCAGACAAAATGGTCAAAATGGATATTTTGACCCCAAATTTTGTGAATATGCTCTCTATAATTTTCTCCGATTTTCTCCGAAATTTCAGCGAGATTGGTTCATTCTCCGCGGTTTTGCGAAACTTTCTCCATTTCTCCGAATTTTTCTACATTTTGGTGAATAACCCCATATGATGGAAACATACATTTTATAAAGAGCTCCCAAGAAGCAATATTTTATAAAACCGAGGCAGATACAATAATCATGTACAGAAAAAAATAGAGATTATATAAGAAGGATTAAAACAATGAAGATAAAAGGTGCTCGTGAATTTTGTAGTTGATTTCACATAGTCTCGAGTAGTTTCACGAATTCGTCTGAATGATTCTCCTCGTATCTAACGACCTGAAAATGATTTTTTGTGATGGAAGTTCTGGCATAAATACCTCAAATAGTTTCTCGAAATTTTTGATTTCTCGTTGTAACTTGTCGTCCAAACCTTCTTTCTCGATCAAATCGCTCTGGATCACTATTTTTGTGAATCCTTTTCGTAGTGCCTGAAAGGTACTTACCATTTGTGAATATAAAATGTGTTCTTACGATTTGAAAAGCTCTGATAATGGCCGTCTGTTTCGATCTGATCTCACTTGCAACTCCATCTACAAACCCGTACTCAGCTTCAGTTTGATCAAAGAGCCAATATAACCCGTATCTTCCAACTGCTTCATTGTTTCCAGTTTGTACAGATCCATAGGTACGAACAGTTTGGAACGCCTGAACGGAGTCCGCTAGTTTCCTTGCTTCGTCGATGTACCCCTCTTTTCCGTCCCGAACTTCCACAGTCTGAATACATAAATGGGTGCTATGTTCATTGGAGGGTTTCTTCAAGAATTGGTTTAAAATTCCAAATATTCATATTTCAGATGCCAAGGCGTTTTAGCATAAGTCTATAATTATGAAGGGAATGAAAGGATTTCTTTAAGTGTTCTGTTTTTCTATTTTTAGATGTCCAGAAACCTAAAAAATATTGTTAATATGCCAAAAAAATCAAAAAATAGTGCCCCCCAAACATAGCGCACATAAATGAAGTTAAAGGTGGGGGGACAGGAGATTTTACGGGGGATTTTTGGGGCCAGAGTATGCATTCTACCGTAACGGTGTACAACGCCTAATGTCTGCGTACAGCTGTCGCCCTCGCCTTTATGTATGCAATCGGGCGGCGTTTTTCTCTTTGCACGCGTAGCTCAGTCGGTAGCGGCGCCGCACCTCCAACACTCGCCTCGACAAGTTCAACTCCTCGAGGAGCATATTTAAACGGAATTTCGACAACATTATTCTTCTCATGTCCCCCCACCTTTAAAGAAAAATAGAGAAAAGGATCTTACTATTCTGTCAAGCATCGAAGTGAGATCTCTGCAGAGAGTCACACAACTCGAATCTACCGAACTCATTGGTGGTGGCCAAGAAGTATCGCGCCACACATGCCGCCAGTTTGTAATATACTCTTTTAGATCTTCGGAATCGGTATACACCGTAAGATGTTGTACATATTGATCTATTCCCTGAATCATGCATATTTCAGTTTTTTAAAACTTCTTTAACATACATTCTTGATAGCAACTTCGAGTGCGGCCATCTCAAGACACAACCGTGAGTGAGGTCCTTCAACCCAGCCGCTTCCGTTTCTTCGGTCGCCTGGCCTCCAGTAAATTCCGTATCGACCGATCCCGTCATTAGCTGTAGCCATTCCAAAGATGGTTACATGTTTGGGAATATTGCCAGAAATTATTTTCGCTAAGTGTTCAGCTTCAATCTGTCCATTCACATTTAAATCTTTTTGGGACATCCAGTGAATTAGCTTCTGAATACAAATTATCATAAATTATTTCAGAAGATCCTCACTTTGAAACGCGGCATGACACTGCAAAGCTTCCCAAAAAGATCTCGATTTTTTTCAGTTGGATATATCTTTTTTGAGATACAGTTGTGAATATCTACACCTCGGCTTCGGATTATGAGTTCGTCGTGGTTCGAATCGAGGGCCTGAAGTTATATGAGTTATAGTTTGTGTAAGAATACATACCACCGCAAGAGCGCGATACAGTGCTATGAAATATGCGCGATAAGAAGATTGCATTCCGTTTACGGTTCCATTTTCGTTTCGCGGATCTCCTGAATGATTAGATAGATAACGATACAGCATGGAATAAGTTACCTTCTCCCCAGTAGATACCATATGCAGCTTTTGCATTTGGTATGCCATCATAACAGGCCCCGTGAATGTCAACGATTCGGTAGCCTTCCTCAAATTGATGATTTGTGTAAGGTTCAACTGCTGTAGAATGCTGGCCGATGGTCCTCCTCGCTCGTTGAGCTGCAACGTTGAACATCCTGATGGCGTTTGTTCTTTCTATGCTGACAGGCTGAAACATCAAGCAAAGTGGAGGGAGAATAAGTATAGGGTTACCAATATATTAATTATTTCTTGAATCGCTGCAAACAGATCTTCATCATTGTCTTTGCTATTTTCTAATGAACTGCGATCTCTTTTCAATGCTTCATCCAATTTCCGGGAACGATGTCTGATTACAATCGAGGGTATTTTACATTCGGAAGCCTGGAAAAGACAATTTTTTTATTTATTGATTGAGTGAATGTGCTTACTTCGTTAATGGCAACCCAGATCGCTGTTAGTAATGCTCTCAATTCGGTCTTTTCTCCAAATGCGACAGCGCCGATTTTCTTCGACTTGACTGGACCCCAGTCTATTCCGTATCCAGCTCGAGCATCGGCTTTTCCCTCATCCGAAGAAACACCGAAAATGTAAACGATTGGGGTTCCGAAGGCATCGACCCATTCAGTCTGCATGCTGATCTTGCGGTGGATCTGAATTTTTTAAAGATTTATCTAAGAATGAAGAATACGCTATTAAAACACATTCTGAATTCAAAACAAGTATTTGCAGAGAAGCGCGAAAACAGAAACCAATTGTCAAATTTGAACAATACCGTAATGTTACGCGTAACTTATTAAAGGCGCAACAGTGGTGGTGCAAAAGTTTAGTAATTTGAGGTTGCGTCTTTGAAAACCTACTCAGCACTTTCAATTTAGGAAACAGCGGCGAAAAAGGGCTTTTTCAGAAAACGGGGGTGAACCACTGTTCCGAGAGTTAATCATCGTGGCGAGACCAAGAAAAGTAGTGAAACCGTGGTGATAGAGAGTTTTACAGGAAACAGGGGTGAATGAAAAAAACACCCTATTGTCTATTCAAAATAAT